GGCGCCGGGACCGAAATGACCCAGGCGCTGGGAGCAGGCCAACGGCTGAACCCTAAAGCTGGCAAGCGCCGGGGCTGCTACCGCGGCCGACGCCAAAGAGTTGGCCAGCAAGTGTAAAATTTTCGCTGTCGTGGTGCACAACATGCCAGTGAGGAACAAGTCGCTGCACGTATGTCGACAGGGGCTCCGATTGGCCAGGCGGTGCCTACGAGACAAGTGCCCGCCGACGCAGACGCCAGCGAGAAGCTGCGAGACCGCGCAGCACAACTTTCAGAGCGACCCAGAAAGCAGCAGCCGTGGAGGAGGCAAAACTAGAGTGCGAGGACGGCGACAACAACGACCTGGATGACGGCACCAACAAGAACGAGGCGGGCTACCAAACGAGCCCGGCAGCCAGAGCAACCACACCGAGGTCAGCTGTTGCGCCGCCGGTCAGAGAAAAAGAAATGGCTGCAGTGGCCGCAAGGCGCAGCAGGCCAGAAGTCAGCTACACAGCCTGCAACGGCCACGATGGCCACAGCAGCTACGAGCCAGAGCAGGCCAAAGTTGATGCTACAACGCCGACGACGGTTAGGAGGGCTACAAGGAGAACAAGACTGGAAACCAGCAACGGCGCCTGCGACGGCTGCGACGGCCACGACAGCTACGAGGCGAAGCAGGCCAGACAGAAGGGTACAATGCCGAAGACGGCTACGAGGTCTACGAGGCGAGGAGGACCAGAAGCGCCGGCCACGAAGCCTACGACGGCAACAGTGGCCACGAAGGCGACAAGGGAAAGCGGGCCAGAGGAGACGACGACGACGACGACGACGACGACGACGACGACGACGACGACGACGACGACGACGACGACGACGACGACGACGGCTACCCAGGACACCCGGAGGCCTGCGCTGAGGCTCCGCTGAGGCGAGGCAGGCCGACGCACCCGAGGGGGCCCGAGCCCTCCCTCGCCTCAACTGCCCTTACTCGGCATCGTGCACGTCTCCTCCTCCTCCTCCTCCTCCTCCTCCTCCTCCCTCCTCCTCCTCCTCCTCCTCTTCCTCCTCCTCCTCCTCCTCCTCCTCCTCCTCCCCGTCCTCCTCCTCCTCCCCCTCCTCCTCCTCGATCCTCCTCGATCCTCCTCCTCCTCCTCGATCATCGATCCTCTTCCCCCCAAACGCCTGCAGGTCACCCAGCTGCGCGCATCGTGCGCCCTTCCCTCTTCCTCCTCCCCCCCCCTGGCAGGTGCTGGGCCGCGTGCGGGCGCGGACCCGCGCAGGCGAGTGGCCGGGGCTCGTGGCGGATAAGGGACGCGGCGCCCTTGCGAGTCAGTCAGGAGGAGGAGGAGGAGGAGGAGGAGGAGGAGGATCGAGGAGGATCGAGGAGGAGGAGGAGGAGGAGGAGGAGGAGATGGAGGAGGAGGATGAGGAGGAGGAGGAGGAGGAGGAGGGAGGAGGAGAGGATGAGGAGGAGGAGGAGGAGGTCAGGAGCATCAGGAGCAGCAAGAGACGGCGAGAAGGTGAGAGGGGGAGCGGAAGGGGAGGGGGGGGGGGACGTGGAGGGCGGGGAGGAAGAGAGGGACGGGGACGGAAAGAAAGCAGAAGAGAGGAGGGAGGGGGCGCGTGTGTGTGCGTGTGTGTCAAGTCCTGCGGGTGATGAGCAGCATGTGCGAGAGGGGCGGGGACATGTGCGAGAGGGGCGGGGACATCGCAGGACATGATCGGGGGAGAACGGAAGGCAGCACTCTGATTGAGTACGTGATCGTGAAGGGAAGGAGGCGGGGCCTCCCTGTCCCGGTGGGATTTGGGCTGCCCCGAGCGCTCGAGCGCTCACTCGGCCACCCCCGTACTCCGCCCGCACGGCGGGAAGCACCTCCCGCGGGGCCTTCCGGCGGTGACGTGGGTCAGCCAAGAGGTCGACCTGTTGGCCGAACTGGGGGATGGAGAAGGAGGAGGAGGAGGAGAAGAAGGAGAAGAAGGAGGAGGAGGAGGACGGAAAGGAAGAGAAGGAGAAGGAGAAGGAGAAGGAGAAGGAGAAGGAGAAGGAGAAGGAGAAGGAGAAGGAGAAGGAGAAGGAGAAGGAGAAGGAGAAGGAGAAGGAGAAGGAGAAGGAGAAGGAGAAGGAGAAGGAGAAGGAAGGAGAAGGAGAAGGAGAAGGAGAAGGAGAAGGAGAAGGAGAAGGAGAAGGAGAAGGAGAAGGAGAAGGAGAAGGAGAAGGAGAAGGAGAAGGAGAAGGAGAAGGAGAAGGAGAGGGAGAAGGAGAAGGAGAAGAAAGAGGGATAACGAGAATAAAGAAAAGGACAGAGAGGCGGAGAGAGGGAGGAGGAGAGAAGGAGGAAGAGGAGGAAGACAAGGAGAAGGAGGATAAGAAAAATAAGAAGAAGAAGAAGAAGACGAAGAAGAAGAAGAAGAAGAGGGGACAGGAAAGGAGGGGGCACAGACAACGGAGGGCAAGGGACGGAGAACGAAGGAGGGACGAGGGACAGAGGGGGAGGAGGGGGCCAGAGATGGAGGAAGCAGAGAGCAGGGGGGGAAGGACAAGTGAGGAGGGCAAGGGGAGAAGGGAGCATGGGGAGAAAGGGAGGAGGGAGAAGGAGGGAGCAAGGAAAAGGGAGGGGAGGCAGGGTAAAGGGCGGGTGGAACACTCCTGGGCTAAGCTCCGAAGAGCAGGGAGGCGAGCGGGGACGCGGAGGAGGAGGGAGCAGGGAGGAAGGAGGAGCAGCAAGAGGACGAAGGAAAGGGAAGAGGACTTCTTGGACATGATCTCGTCCGGCTGGAGGGGACGCTCGTGCTTCTCGAGGGGCTCCAGGGACGAGACGTCCACACCTCACCACGGCCCCGCTCTCCACCTGCCCCCCGCCTCCCCAGCCACTGCCTCCTGCCCATCATTCCCTCCCCGATACCCCCTCCCCTCACCCAGCCCTTTCACCACCCCGCCCCACCCCATCCCCTCACCCTCAGCCCCCCCTCACAGTCCCCCCTTCCTGCACGGGGGAGGGGAGAAAGGACGAAGGGAAGGAGGATGGAGGGGGAACCGACGGACAGGAACGACGACAACGTCGAGGGAGAACGAGGAGGGGTGAAGAGGCAGGAGCAGCGAGGAGCAGGAGGCACGAGGAGGCAGGTGAAGGCCCCTGCACCGTCAAGCCACGACAGCTGGTGAGCACTCAGGCCATACTGGGAGACGAGCTCGGAGATCCCTTCGCTCATGCGATGGTAGTCGGGCTTCTCCTTCCGCGGAGCACAAGAGGGGAAAGGGATGAGGAAGGGGGGATGGCAGTGGAGGGGGAGGGCGGAGGAGGGATAGCCTGAGAAAGGAGAAGGGAGAGGGAGAACGGAGGAAGAGCAGGACGAAAGGAGGAGCGAGGAGCGCAAGGTGGATGAGGAGGGGATATGGGGGAGAGGAGGGGGAGGGGGAGGGCGAGGGAGGACAGGACAGACGAGGAGAGGGCAGCCCTTTTTCGCTGCAGGGGCGACTCGCTGAGCCCTACGAGAGAGGCACCTCGGCCCTGCTCCATGCGAATGCAGATCCATGAAGTTCGAGGTACAGCCGGGGTTCCAGATGCTTGTCTGCAAAGGGCCGAGCCACCATGAGGAAAGAGCTTCTCGTCGCCGTGGTCGTCGTCGTCGTTAGGGCCCTCCTGCTTGAAGGTGCCAGACCGTCGACTCTGGCGTCCGCCTTGGCAACCTCCATCGGATGGCAGCCACGAGCGGCAAAGCGCCGTCCTCTCCTAGACGACCACGGCGCAGTCAAAGCAGCGCCCTGGCAGTGGTGAGCTCGATCTGGGCACTCTTGCGCAGCCATCTTCGTATCGAGGAGGATCAGCTTTGAAGGAACGATCCAGCTGGACTTCCGCACGTCCAGCCAGAACTCCTGGAGTAGTCCCCGCGTGACTGAGCAGCTCTGCTCGCGGGCGGCAACAAGCATCGGGGCCATTGTCCTTGTGAGATTACGCGTAGGTTTCTCGACGTAGACATGCCGGGGCGCAGTTGGAGACGAAGAGATGACATCTGCCCCAACACCACCCGCATCTTCATGGAGTGTTGCCCTGCGGCGGTTGCGATAACCTCACGGCGCCCAGGCGGCGCGAATCCAAAGCCTCCTCGCCCTTGTTGTTCACGGCGCGCAGAAACACGACAGGACAACCTGGCATGAGCGCGTTGCTATATTTTCGGCGATGACGGGCGTTATGGGGGGGGGGCGGGGGGAGGTAGAACGTAACGCCCCCACCCCGCCGTGTGGTTCCGGCACCACAGGAGCACGTTTTCCCCGTTTTTTTCTGTTTTCTGGGACAGCGGCCGTCATCGGCCCCGTCCCCCCACCCCTCCCAGATGACGTCACGTTCCGCGCTGACAGTGTCCAGGAATACCTAGGGATGACCGAGGCCAACTAGGAGCAGCAAATAGGTGGCGATCTGCCCCACAGCGCCTGTGAACACCACAATGCTCCCGTGCACCACCACAGTGCCTGCGTACACCGCAACAGCCGTGTGCAACGCAGCGCCTGTGTACACCACAGTGCTTGCGTGCACTACAGCGCCGGTGTACATCACAGCGAATGTGCACACCGCAGCAACCATGTGCAACAAACCACCTGTGTACACCACAATGCTTGCGTGCACCGCAGCGCCTGTGTGCACCACAGCGCCTGTCTACACAACAGCATCCACGTGCAACGCAGCGCTGGTGTACAACACAGCGCCTGCGTGCACAGGATAGGTGGAAGGAGCATCTAGGTGAGGATCTGGTGCGGGCAACCAAACACCACGCCATGGAAGCGCTGATTAGAGAATGCGACGTTATTCCCTCCTTCTTTCCCATCTCCTCCTCCTGATCCTTCTCCTCCTCCTCCTCCTCCTCCTCCTTTTCCTCCTCCTCCTCTTCCTCCTCCTCCTTCCTCCTCCTCTTCCTCCTCCCTTCACCCTTACCCCCTGTCGGGTTGGTCGGCGCTACAGCGCACGTGCATATCCCAGCGTGCACCGCAGAATGGTCTATTGAATCAGCCCATTTGGTTCTCAAGGCAATCGGTCCCCGAACAGCCTAACCCCGAGGGCACGGCGGTCACCACTGCGCATTCACCCCTGCCCAACAGTCAGGAGAGAACGTGGGCAAGGAAACGGGCACCCTAGGTGATCAAATCACCGCACAGACGAACCATCACATCCGAACCAGCATGTACCCGAAGTGGAACGGTTCTCCTGGCCCCACATAGCATGCACCACGAAACGGCGCCCAGCAGGCGACACACAGACCTGCCGACACAGTGGTCTGCTGGACAGGCAGAAGATCAGCTAACAGGTGTTGGTCGTGCAGGTCTCGGGGATGCGGCTGGTGAACCTCCGCATCACCACACAGGCGCGCGAAGGATGCCAAGAACGTCTGCTCAGGCGAGGAGCACGTGTGCCACACGCCGCACTCGACCTCGATCTCGATCTGAATGCCAGTCTCCACGTGTCCCATCTCATGCGGCGTCCCCCCTGGAAAAAACGAACCAATGAAAGCCACCATAGCAGCCCATCACTCGTCAACAATGTCCGCGACCTCGCCGTGCTTCTCTCCAGCGCCACCGAAGGACGGAAAGTTGACGTTGATGTCGTCTGCCACCGCAACGGCACATGCGGAACGGTACTGGTTCAGTTCGTGGGAAAAAACGCTGGCCGTTTCTTCTCACGACCCTTGGAGGCGAGGGGATGAGAAGGGTGGACGGATTCGGGAGCCTCGGGCCTTGAACTCGAGCCGTCTGGCCTCCCTCAGCACCACTCGCAGGGGCTCTGGCAGGTCCTGGCATAGCTCCTCGACGTCGGCAGCCTCCTTCCAGGGGAGGGCCGAGTCCTTCTACATTCCAGTTCCCCCTCCTCCGTCTCCTCATCCTACCCCGCCTCCTCATACTCGTACTCATACTCATACTCATACTCATACTCATATTCATACTCATACTCCTACTCCTACTCATACTCATACTCAGACTCATACTCATACTCGTACTCATACTCATACTCCTACTCATACTCATACTCATACTCCTCATCCAATTCATCCTCCTCCTCCTCCTCCACCTATGCCCCCTTTCTCCTTCGCCTGCGCCTCCTCCTTCTCCTCCTCCTCTTCCTGTTCCTCCTCTTCCTCCTCCTCATACTTTCTTCCCCCCCCCCTCCTCCTACTACTACTCCTTCTCCTCCTCCTCCTCATCATCATCATCATCAGCATCATCATTACCATCATCTGCATCATCATCAGCATCAGCATCAGCATCAGCATCAGCATCAGCATCAGCATCAGCATCAGCATCATCATCATCATCAGCATCATCATCATCATCATCATCATCATCATCATCATCATCATCATCATCATCAGTATCCTGCTCGTCCTCCTCCTCCTATTCCTCTTCCAATTCATAGTCCTGCTCCTCCTCCTCCCCCTCGTCATCCTCCCCCTGCTTCTCCACCACCTCACTCAAATCCTGATCCCGACTCCCTGACCCTCCTCACTCCTCCCTCCTCCCTCCCCACCCTCCACGCACTCATCATCATCATCAGCATCATCATCATCATCATCATCATCATCATCATCATCATCATCACCATCATCATCATCATCATCATCATCATCATCATCATCATCATCGTCGTCATCATCATCAGCAGCAGCAGCATCGTCATCATCAGCAGCAGCATCGTCATCATCATCATCATCGTCGTCATAATCAACATCATCAGCAGCAGCATCATGTTCATCATCAGTCTCATCATCATCCTACTCATCATCAGCATCATCATCAACATCACCAACATCGTCAGCATCGGCATCATCAACATCAGCATCATAAGCATCCTCATCACCAGCAACAACAACATCGTCAGCATCAGCATCATCATCAGCAGCAGCAGCATCATCATCATAATCAGCAGCATCATCATCAGCAGCAGCATCGACACCATCCTCACCCCTCATCAGCAGCATCATCATCAGCATCGTCATCGTCATCATCAGCATCAGCATCATCAAGATCATCATCGGCATCAGCATAATCATCATCAGCAGCAGCATCATCATTAAAATCAGCAACAGCGTCATCCTCATAATCAGCATCATGATGATCATCATCCTCATTATCATCAGCATCATCAGCAGCATCCTCAGCATCATAACCATCATCATCATCATCATCATCATCATCATCATCATCATCATCATCTTCATCTTCATCTTCATCTTCATCTTCATCTTCATCTTCATCTTCAGCAGCAGCATCACCAGCAGCAGCAGAATAATCATCAGCATCGTCATCATCAGCGTCATCATGAAAATCATGATCATCATCAGCAGCATCAATATCATCAGCATCATCGTCATCATCATCATCAGCAGCCGCATCCTCATCATCAGCATCCACATGATCATCAGCATCATCAGCAGCAGCATCATCAGCATCATCAGCATCATCAGCATCAGCATCATCATGGGCATCAGCAGCATCAACATCAGAATCAGCATCCTCGTCATCAGCATCATCAGTATCACCAGCATCACCATCATCAGCATCAGCAGCATCATGGGAATCAGCAGCATCCTCGTTAGTATGATCATCATCAGCAGCATCATCATCGACAGCGCCATCAGCATTATCATCAGCATCAACAGCCGCATGACCATCATCAGCAGCATCATCATCATCATGCTCAGCATCGGCAACTGCATCATCACCAGCATCAGCATCATCATCACCATCATCAACAACAGCCTCATCATAACCATCACCATCACCATTGCCATCACCCTCACCATCACCATCACCATCGCCATCGTACTCCCAATCCCCCGCATCCTTATCGTCGTCCTCCTCCTCCTCCACCTCATCATCCGCCTCCCCGTCATCATCATCATCATCATCATCATCATCATCATCATCATCAGCATCATCATCATCATCATCAACAACAGCATCAGCATCATCGCCAACATCATCAGCAGCAGCCGCAGCAGCATCATATCATCCCCCTCACCCTCCCTCCCACCATACCCTCCCCCCCCCCCCCCGTCACCTCTTCCCCCTCCTCCTCCTCCTCATCACCCCCCGTTCTTCTTAAGGAGCCATACTGCTGCTCAAACCCTGAGCCGTGCTGATGATTGCCCGTACCCTCCTCATCCTCCGCTTCCACCCCCGCCGCCTCCATTAACGGCACTCATCCTTGTCCTGCTCACCCGTGTCCTCACCACTCCTCCTCCTCCTCCTCCTCCTCCTCCTCCTCCTCCTCCTCCTCCTCCTCCTCCTGCTCCCCCTCATCCACCCACCGCACGTCCTGTTCCTCCTGCGCCTCCTCATCCTCCTCCTCCTCCTCTTCCTCCTCCTCCTCCTCCTCTTCCTCCTCCTCCCCATGCCGATGGCTTCCGCAGCCCCGGGGGGCGGTCGTTGTGCAGGACGCATAGGGCGCCGGTAAAGGCGTGCGCAAGGCGCACGCCCGACGAGCACCTGCACAATGCCCCCTGGGGTTAGGAAGCCGGGGCGACACCGGCATAAGAGGTACTTACGGTACCTCAATGTTGTCAGAAGGCACACGCGGACATTTGCTACGCATGGCTCCCCGTGCACAGGCGAAGGCCAGCGGCAGTGCCAGGTTCCGCGCATCCACTGAATATGCACGCACGTCGCGAGGCATTCGCGTCAAGGACACAGCCCGGCGGCAAGCCGGCGGTTTTGCACAATCTAGGTCAGAAGGCACACGCGGGCATATGCTACGCATGGCTCCCCGTACGCAGGCGAAGGCCAGCGGCAGAGCCAGGCTTCGCGCATCCACAGATTATGCACGCACGTCGCGAGGCATTCGCCTCAAGGACACAGCCCGGCGGCAAGCCCGCGGCCCTGCACAATCTCACTCTCTCCGCTTACCATGGTTTGCCTCCTTGCAGACGGTGGCCAGCGGCCGTGCAAGCTGTCGCGCACCGCGGTGTTGCACACTTGTCGCGAGGCATTCGCTTCAAGGACACAGCCCGGCGGCATGGCCGGCAGTCCTGCACAATATCTTTCTGCGCGGCTACCATGGTTGTTTCTTTTTCATGTCATTGTCAGTTTTGTGCATTCGCAGATAATGCAACTATGTCGCGAGGCATTCGCGTCAAGGACACAGCCCGGCGGCAAGGCCGGCAGTCCTGCGCAGGCTCACTCTTTGTGGCTACCACGGCTTGTCTCCCATTCGGCGCTGGCCAGCGTCAGGGCCAGCTTCCGTGCGCCCACAGTTTATGAACGCACGTCGCGAGGCATTCGCCTCAAGGACACAGCCCGGCGTCAAGGCTGGCAGTCCTGCTCAATTGCACTTCGTTGCCATGGTTATCTCCTATCTGGCGCCGGCCAGTTGCAGTTTCAGCCTACGTGCTTCCACTGTTTACGCAAGCATGTCGCGAGGCATTCGCCTCAAGGACACAGCCCGGCGGCAAGCTGGCAGTCCTGCATAATCCCATGTTGTCCGGCTTGCATGGTGTGTCTCCTACCAACGTTCATTGCCAGCTTTCGCGCATTCGCAGATAATGCAACTAACGTCGCGAGGCATTCGCCTCAAGGACACAGCCCGGCGGCAAGGCCGGCTGTCCAGCTCAGTCTCATTGTTTGCGGCTACCACGGGTTGTCTTCTATTCGTCGATGGCCAGCGTCAGGGCCAGCTTTCGTGCGTCCACAGTTTATGAACGCACGTCGCGAGGCATTCGCCTCAAGGACACAGCCTGGCGGCCAGGCCGGCAGTCCTGCACAATCGCACCTGGCTACCATAGTTATCTCCTATCAGAGGCTGGCCAGCTTCAGTTCCAGCTTTCGTGCATCCACAGATTCTGCAAGCATGTCGCGAGGCATTTGCCTCAAGGACACAGCCCGGCGGCAAGGCCGGCAATCCTGCATAATCTCATCCTGGTTAGCGGCAAGGCCGGCAGCGTTGCACAGTCTCACTCTTTGCGGCTACCATGGGTTGTCTTCTATCCGTCGATGGGCAGCGTCAGGGCCAGCCCTCGTGCGTCCACAGATTTTGAACGCACGTCGCGAGGCATTCGCCTCAAGGACACAGCCCGGCGACAAGGCCGGCAGTCCTGCACAATCGCACTCTGCCACCATGGTTATCTCGTATCAGAGGCTGACCAGCTTCAGTTTCAGCTTGCGTGCATCCACAGATTATGCAAGCATGGCGCAAGGCAATTGTCTCAAGGACACAGTCTGGCGGCAAGGCCGGCAGTCCTGCACAAGCTCCTTCTGTCCGGCTACCATGGTTTGTCTCCTGTTAGACGCTGGCCAGCGTCCGGGCCAGCTTTCGTGCATTCACAGATTATGCACGCACGTCGTGAGGCACTCGCCTCAAGGACATAGCCGGGCGGCAAGGCCGGCAGTCCTGCATAATATCATTATGTCCAGCTACCATGGTTAGCTTCCTGGTAGACGCTGGCCAGCGTCCGGGCCAGCTTTCGTGCATCCTCAGACTATGGTCCACATGAGTAAGCTCCACCCTGTGGGGAGTGTTCAGAAAAGCAGTTTGCCACAGGGGCAATTCCACATCCCACTGTAAGCCCCCAACATGTGTGAATCAAGCAAATACGCCGTCCAACCCGACATTCAGAAACACGGCCGCCAACAACAAAACACATTGATCACGCCTCCGTCGGAGGCACAACAGCGCTGGCGCGCGCGCCCGCCGTACAAGCAGACGCACACAACGTGCAGCACATGCGAGTCATTGCATGTACTTCGAATGACTAGCGAGCCAAATCGGCACTTGACGAGGAGGATCCGTACACCTCCTCCTCCTCGTCGCAGTCCGCATGCTTTGAGCCCC